CCCGAGCAGCGCCGCGGAGCCGCTCCCGTCCCGTTCCCCCCCGTCCCGTCCCGTCCCCCCCGTCCCGTCCCCCTTACCGCTGAGCCGGTCCATGGTCCGGAGCTCCGGCCGCCCCGGCTGCTGCGGGCGGGTGAATGTGGCGGGCAGCAGCCGCCCGGCGGGGCCGGCTCTCGCTGCGGGGCGGCCAATCCCTTCATCCGCCCCTCCCTCCCCGCCTCTCGGCACGGCAGCGCCGAGCACCGGCCCGGCCCGGCACGGCACCGGGGACAGCCCGCGGGGACAGCCCGGGCACCCTCCCACCCCTGCATCCCCCGCTCTCCGCGCCTTGAGCATCCCCAGAGACCCCCGGGGAAGGGTGGGGGTCTTGAGCGGGCCACCTCCACCTGCCCGGCTTGGGCAACTTCGGTTTGGGGAAAAAAACCCCGATTCCCAGTCGCAAGCACAGCTCTCCCTCACCCCTCCCTCCTTGTTTCCCCCTCCCCAAAACCCCCCTCCATCTCTGCTCTCTCCTGGTGTCCCTCCTGTGCCCAGCGTCTCCCTGCCCATGGTGCTCATGCCACTGTCACCGTCTGTCCCCAGCACAGAGCTCAAGGCAGGAGGTGGCTCGGGCTGTTTCACTGAGGAAGGGCTGGGTTTGGGGATGGAAAGTGGCTGTTCCAGTACCCTGGCACGATAAACTGGCTCTGGAGCAACCCACGGKTTGCAGGGAAAGCCCCCAGCCCAGGCCCTCACCTTGGCCCCGTGGGGTCCCCACTTCTGTCCCCTGCCCCAGGCTCTGCATTTCAGGTCCCAAAGGTGCCCCCAGCTCTGGCCATGAAAAGGCAGGGAGGGATTTAAGGAGTGAGATCCCATTTCCCTGCCCTTGTGCCCAAGGCCTTTTTGACCCATAACCCACAGCCCAGCCGTGCAGAAGGTGATGGGACACCCCTCGCCCACCCCCATCCCAAATTCTGCTCTCTGCCAGCCCCAGACACTGTGCCTGCAGCAGGAAAATCCTCCCCCTCCCCTCGTGTCCCTGTGGGACAGCAGTGACAGACACCAAATGGCTTTAGCTCCTGGGAGAACCCAGGGATGGATACAGAAATCAGMAAAGGAAAGGAAACACAGAGCATTGAATGATCTGCGAGACTCCAATTCACTCTCAGGGGTGCAGAGAGGGCCCCTGCGCCCCGTACAGCCCCGAGAATCATACAGAGCTGCAGTGTAGAGATCTCTCTATGTATATATTTATAGGTATGTATATATTTATAGTGCACTGCGATTAAAACAGCCGGGCCTGCTTCTTCAGCTCGTTCCTCTTCCACAGCGCCAGGCGGTCGAACTCGGCGATGGTCATCCCGAAGATCTGGTAGAATTCCTCCTGGGACAGGTGCCTCTGGGGAGAGACGGGAGGCTGGGCCACAGCTGGCCACTCTGGCCACTCTGGCCACCAGCCAAGGGCAAAGAGGGGGCTGAGGGCATCCCCTGCCCGCTGGGACAACGGGGTGACACAATGGGGTGACACAATGGGGTGACACAAYGGGGWGACACAACCCCAACACCGCTCCCTTGGGATAGGGGGGGACCTGCCTCCCTCCTGCCCATGCCAAAGGCACAGGGGACAACTGTGCCCAGCCAGGGGAACAGCAGGAGTGTGTGACAGTGCCCTGGCACTCTGAGCACCTCACACGGCCACCAGCCCCTCACAGCCACACGCTGCCTGCTGCCAGGGCCACCCCGCRGGGTCGGGTCCCTCTGTGCCCCGAGGAGATTGTCCCCAGCAGAAAAGGCTCTTCTCACCTCTAACCGAGTCCTGTCCACATCTTTGGGCAGCTGGTTCCTCCCTCTTGTCTTGACCAGGAGCAGCTCGTAGGGGTAAATCTGCACARGGACAGAGCGTGGGGCARCCACGAGACACGGGGCACACTTGGSAAGGAGGGCAAGGCCTCCTGCTGCATTTAACAGGGATGGGGTGGCACAGCTGGCTCCAGGGCTTGGATTGGACAAGGAGAGGTGGGAATTGCTCTCAGGGTGACTGATCCACCCTGAATCTCCATGGAGGCTCTGGAATAACCTGCTCACGTCTCACCAGGAATGACCCAGGCACCAGCGTGAGCAGGAAAGCACCAACACAACCAACCCCCTGCTCTGCTCCTCACCCAGGGGACAATTCTGCTCAGCCGAGCACTTGGGGCCTGGCAGGAGGGCAGGGACTCGGGTCTGAGCCCCACAGCCCTGGGATGGGGCTGTCAGGTCAGCCATGGAGGGGAACCAAGGCAGAGGGCAAAGCTTCCCCCTGCAGAGCCTGGGGACACGYGGGCACATCCCTGGCACTGCCATCTGTGCAGCAGAAGGGTCTTACCTTGTACTCTGTGGGGAGAGAGAAAAGAGAGACATGAGCCACCCTGACCCCTCTGCTGTCCCCACCGTGCCCCGGGGGCTGCGGGGACCCCGCCTGCCCCATTTTCCGGAGCTGCCCGCGGGGATGTGGCAGCCCCACAGCATTTATAGGGTCCCCCCTTACCTCGCATCCCCCARTTGACGGCGTTGGTGCTGTCGTAGTGGAACAGCTCGGCGCTGGGAGGCTGCGGGAGGGACGGACAGAGCCAGGAGTGAGAGGAGGATCCTCCGGACACTCCCACATCCCCAGGGCAGGACAGCGGGGTCCCCACCCACCAGCGGGGCACGAGTGACAAGCCCAAGTGACACAGAGGCAGGAGCAGAACTGATCCCGAGCAATCCCCAGCCCGGGATATGAAACAGCAAMAGCAGCATCCCCCTGAAAATCGCCCCGTGGGATTTTCAGGGCAGGCACCGCGTGGGGGAGAAACTTTGCACCCCAAAAAGGATCATTTTGGATTGGCACGGGGCAGCAGTGACAGCAGGGATGTGGAGAAGGGGGAAACAGGACATCCCAGGCGTGGAACGGGAGCTCTGGGGGTTTTGAGGAGTCTGGGGAGATGGAGGGATGCCTGGGGAGAAGGAGGGATGTTTGGAGAGGAGGGATGTTTAGGGGGAAGGAGGGATGTTTGGGGAGAAGGAGGGATGTTTGGAGAGGAGGGATGTTTAGGGGGAAGGAGGGATGTTTGGGGAGAAGGAGGGATGTTTGTGGAGAAAGGGATGCCTGGCAGCAGCAGGAGGCACTCACCCTGTGCAGCCCATTCCTCCTGTAGGCAGGGAGTGAGGCCGACTTGGAAATGAGGGGATCTGCAAAGAAGCCACCACGGGACGTCAGGGGAAGGGCAGGAACGAGCCCCACACCCTGAGCCAGCCCCCTGTGCCACCCTGTGCCACCCTGTGCCACCCTGTGCCCCTGTGCTCCCAGCTCCACAGCCACCCCGCTCTGGCTCCTTCCAGCTCCAGCTCGTTCCCAGCCTGGCTGCCTCCCGTGCTGATCTTCCTCTCCCCAAAATCCCTTTCCCGTGGCAGCCTTCACACTTCACCCTTAAGGGCAATGCGTTCTCCTCTCTCAGTTTCTCCCACTCATCTCCCTGCCCTGGTTCAGCTCTACCCTATCCCAGGTTTTCAAGGTCTCCTTCTTGGTTTCCCCCGTCCCCTCCCTGGTCCAGCACCTCCTGCAGCTGGGGCTCTGCACCCCGGGGAGGGCTCGGGGGGCTCGGGGGGTTCAGGTCCCGCACTCACCACTGTCGGCCAGGTAGTGGGTTCGGGGAGCTGCAAGGAGAGCAGAGCCGGCTGTCAGGGAGGACCAGGCACCCCAAGCCATGCAGAACCACCCCTTCCCAGCCCCACAGATCCTCCTTGGGGCTCCCAGGAGCCCACAGGGCTGAGGGGCTCCCTGAGCACCCCCGAACCGCTCCGAGAGGGCGGATGTGCCATGAGGAATAGAAACAGGGAGTGGACAGAGCCTGGTCTGTGCTGSCAGCCTCTGGAGTGCCCCCCAGCCCCACTGCGGCCCCAGGAACAGGGCTGGGGGCTCTGGGGGCTCTGGGACAAGAGCAGGGCAAGCGAGGCAGCCCTGGGGCCGCTCAGCAGGTGTGGGGTGGCAGCAGGTCCCAGAGGTGCGGTCCCAAAGCGGGTCACAGCAMCCCCAGTGTGACAGTGCCACCAGATTCCCAAGGGATCCTTCAGCCACTCCATGAGACCCTTCCAGGCTACTGGGACACCATAGGACAGTGCCCATCCCAGCTGGGGCACAGGGAATGGACAGAACCCTCCAGAGGAGGGCACAACTCCGTGCCAGCACCTCTCATCAYCCCTTTCCTCACCCCATTGTTCCCTCTCCACCCCACAGAATTCCCGAGGGGCTGGGGCTGTGCTGGGTGGGACAGAGGAGGGACAGGAACATCCTTACAGCCATTGAGGGAGCCCTCGTAGCCCACTGTGTGCAGGGCCTCTCTGCTGCTGGCCGAGCTGCGAGGGGGGGTCCAGGGGTCTGCGTARGAGTTGGACCGAGCCTTCATCTCCTCCCTCAGGATCAGCCTCCCGATGCCACTCTGGATCTGTTGGGGTGGGGAAAAGGCASCTGTCACCCTTCCATCCCCTGCCCAGCCCTCTCTGCCACCGTGGAAGGGCACAGCATCCCCTGGCGTGGGCTTGGCATCTCCTGAGGATGGGCTGCTGGCCTGGGGTGCCTCGGCAAGGGGGTGCTCTGCCCCTGTCCAAACCCCACACGGGGGTGGCTAGGAGGGGACAGATGGCTGAGGAGGGCAGGGAGGGTGGTGGCACCTTCTCGGGTGGCAGAGCTGGGTTGAGCCTCGTCCCCAGAGGCAGCTGGGGACAGTTTGGTGCCAGCTCTCACCTTGTGCATGCCCCGGTCGTACCCGTCCTCTTCWCCTCCTGACGAGAACCGCCGGGCCCGGGGGGCTGCAGGGAGACACGGGAGGGGTCAGATGGGGACACAGGTGGTGGCAGACACAAAGGGGACAGTCCTCAACCCCATGGGGACAGCAGAGTCCCAGAGACACGCGTTTTGGGGTCACCTTGGCAGGAATCTCAGCCCAACCCCATCTTCAGATCCAAACACAACTCAGAGCGGGGTTCCCTCCCAGAGAATTTGGGGGCAGGGATGTTTTYCCTTTCTCCCAGCCCCTGTTACCTTTGGGGGAGCCCTGGAAGGACCAGTACTCGGACTCGGAGTGGTAGTAGGGGTCCGGGGAGTAGGCGGGGCTGTACTTGGAGGACTGCGCGATGTCCTCGCTCGTTTTGCTTTTCGTGGCTGCCGAGGGGGGGTCTGCAAAAGGAGYCGGGGTGAGGAGCTGCACAGAGCCACCCCAAACGAAGGCAAATTCACTTCCCCTCCCCAGTGGCTGTCACAATTCATGTCCAAGACAGCACGGAGCTGGGAATAACCCATTTTCCAGCTCCTGACACCTCCTCGAGATGAGGCTGCTGAGGCAGACGGTGGGGACAGTGACAAACGGGGGCTGTCGCTGGTGTGGCTGGGAAGGGACCCAAATGGCTGAGAGCCCACAGTGCCACAGGGCTGGCTCCTGCACGGTGCCACCAGTGCCACCAGTGCCACACCGATCCCTGTGCTGCACTGTCACCGGGAGGTGCGAGAGGGGACAGAGGAAGGTTCAGCACAGCAGGGAAAGGCTCTGCCAGRGGGAGGTGGCAGCAGGGGGACAGCAGAGGGGCTCTGCCAGGGCTTGGACCCTGTGGCAGGGGCACACAGAGCGCTCAGGCTGGGGACAGAGCCTCAGCAGCACAGGGGGAACCCAGGGGGACATCCTGCTGCACCACGAGAGTCACAGGGGAGGGAGCACCAAGGACAGCAGGTGGCAGTGCCATCCCTCCGTGTCCGGCAGGCGCAGGGGACCCAGCAGGTACTTACAGCAGCAGGAGCAGGCAGCAGCAGTGGTGGGAATGGGGCAGGAGGGAAGGGAGAGCCGAGGAGAGAGAGAGGAGACACAGTTACTGCCCAGGGGAGCTGCTGTCCCTCCGTGAGCAGGGGCAAGCGGGGATAGGGCAAGCCAGCCCCGCCGAGAGCCACCCAACACCGAGAGCCATCACACACCCTCCCCATCCTGCAACACCCCACGCCTGTTTCACTCCGGAGCACCATCTCAGGATGGGCAGCGATTTTTCTCCAGGGCTGCATGTGAAACTGCAAATTGCTATTTCCATCCCTTTTCTGAGGCTGCTCTGACTCCCTTGTCCCCTGTGCCACCCCACCATGGCCCCACTCCCCCTTTCACAGCTATCGCTGTGTCACTGCCAGCCTTTGCTCCATCCCTGGGACAGGGACGTTGTTCAGTGTCACATCTGTCCCCCACTGAAGCCGCTCTGCCGCCCGGAGGGGAAGCAGGAGCATCCCACCAAAGCGCAGCACCCAAATCCTGACACCTGCCCCCATCTCCCACCCTGCCCCTGAACACACCGGTCCCTCCCCGGGGGGACAGGGGACAGGGACACAGCAGCCAGACCAGACCGTACCGTGGCGCTTGTAGATGGGGGGCTTCCTGTAGATGTTACTCTCGCCAGCAGCTGATGGGAGAGGAGACAGAGAAAGGGAAGAAAGAAAGGGAAAGGGCGGTCAGTGTGGGCGTGCTGAGAGCGCACAGGACACGGGTCTGGCAGGAGCCACCACCCCACGCCACACTTCCATCACAGGCCCGCCTCCGGGCCCCGGGACCCCCGGGAGGGCGRCTCCGGGTCCCCGGGACCCCCGGGCGGTGGCTGGGGCAGCAGGAGCGCGGTCCCGGCTGCCCACGGTGTGACAGGACATGCAGTGAGCGCCCAGCGACAGCATGCACCGGGGCGGCGGGCACAGCCTGCCAGCCGGCAGCGAGGCACCCGGGGCGCGTTCTCGGGGTGCCAGCACCTGCAAGAACCGCCTGCGAGCTACCTGGGGCKAGCCAACATCAGCCAAAGCCTCTTTCCGCAGCACAGAGAGAAAAGAGCGAGTCGGGAGGGAAAGCGGACTGCAGCCTGGCGCTGGAGCAGGCGGAGC